TTCCCTAAATGGACACCTGCCTCAGATTAGATCTGCTCGTTAGTCTGCAGTTAAAAACACCTGCAGTCATGACACCTTGGAGGGCTGCTGGATGTAGTGGAGTGGCAAGAACCATGGCTCCAACAAGAGAAATGTTTCTTGAAACAAAAGAGAGGATTGTGAAACTTCTTGAAGGTAACTCTTCACACATGGTTGCTAAAGATGTGGGCTGTTCACAGTCAGCTGTATCCAAGATATGGACCAAATACAAACAGCATTGAATGGWTGTTAAAGCCAAGTGTACTGGTAGACCAAGAAAGACATCAAAGCATCAAGACAAACAACTTAAGGCCATTTGTCTTKAAAACCGAAAAAGCTGGAGCCAATGTATGTGACTGAACTGTGAGAAATCATCTAAAGGAAATGGGATTTCAATATAGGAAAGCTAAAAGAAAACCATCATTGACACCTAAACAAAAAAGAACAAGACTCAATGGGCTAAGGAGAGGCAATCATGGACTGTGGATGACTGGATGAAAGTTATCTTCAGTGATGAGTCAAGAATCTGCATTGGACAAGGTGATGATGCTGGAACTTTTGTTTAGTGCCGTTCCAGTGAGATTTATGAAGAGGACTGCCTGAAGAAAACAACCAACTTTCCACAGTCCTTCATGATATGGGGCTGCATGTCAGGCCAAGGCACTGGGGAGATGACTGTGGTTCATTCTTCTATCAATGCTCAAGTTTACATTTGTAGGGGTCACCTCGAGTCAAATTATCAAGGAACTATCTTGGACTCTCAGTCCTCTGATGGGCCTTCTAATGGACAAACTCTGTTCCACTTAGAACTGTATTTAGGCCACCCAAGGCCACTTTCCTTCTAAATCAGATAAAAACAGAAGAATCTTCTCTTATTTGATTTAGCGCTCTCTTAACTGAAAGTATTACGCATTTTGATAATCAGAGAATGTTTATCAAAATTACAGGGGAAGAGAGGACAGACCTCTTTTCTCCCTCAGTATGATTTCAGTTTTCATTATGGTTTTTCTGTGAGGAAAATTCTTATTTAACTAAAATAATCTTTATGGTTTAAGTTGATGAAATATCAATGTTTTACTTGTCTGAATCATATTTGCAAATGTTTTGAACTTGAAGCAATTCATTTTTCTTTCAGTTATGTTTTAAACAGTACTCATCAGATAATTTAAATGGGTCATGAAATGTTTTGTTCTGAACCACACAGCAGCAGCAAATAATCTTTGTTTTGTTTCAGGAGGGCACAGCGAGCTCTGAAACTAACACTTTCCTTGATAATTTCTTTTTCTAATCTAACCTTCTGGAGGGCGGACCATAGATTCTCTAAGCTTTTAGGAACTAACAGTTTCTGCCCGTCTCAGTAGCAGACTCAGACTGAGAAAAGACAGAGAGTAAAGGTGACTGACCGCCGTCAGTCACTGTGACAGCTAGATTCTCTCCGGGGAATCAAAAGCTGAAAACTGTGTCAGGTTTGGCCCCTTCACACCAACGGGGAAACCTCACAGTGTGGAAAACCACGCCTGGTTTATCCACCTTCAGAAACTCTCCAGACGGAAGTTTTATTTACAACCTGGGTTTCAGTCGAGGCCTTGTCTTCTGGTTACGGCTGAAGTGGACGTAAACGAGTCAAAGAGCACGCCTTGGGGTCCCCTGTTAGGCGGTCTAAAGACAGATTCTCCGGCAGCACCCTCATCTACCTGGCAGGTGACAGAACATCATCTCAAGGTAAAAGCTGTTTTTTGTTAGTTTGAGAGTATCTTTTGTACTCATAGTTTTGTGTTTTGTTTTCACAGTGTTCATCCTGATCAGACTTTTGTCTCCATTCGCAAATGTTGTTTCGCACTATAGGAATAAGAGGTTCTATTTCTACTCGATCAGAGTCAGATTTAAAACTTTTATCCATTTCACGAATGATGTAAGCTCTGTGCCCGCATTCTCCACCATTTGTAAGGGTCAGCTTACACTTCTTATAACAAGGTTATAAGAGTAATTTATTTAGCAAGGATCTCTTTTAATGTTTGGATAAACATTTCTTTTGTGTACATTCATTCTTGCACTAAGAAGAAATTTTGGACAGTTTTCTCATCCCTTCACTTGAACAGATGTTTGGAGGTGATGAAATAATTTTCCAAGATGACAATGCATCGTGCCATAGGGCAAAAACAGTGAAGACATTCCTTGGAGAAAGACACTTTCAGTCAATGTCATGGCCTGCAAATATAACAGATCTCAACCCAAATGAAAACCTGTGGTGGAAATTAAAAAAAAAAGGTCCACAAGAAGGCTCCGACCTGCAAAGCTGATCTGGCAACTGCTGTCAAAGAGAGTTGGCAACAAATTGATGAAGAATAATGTTTGTCACTCATCAAGTCCATGCCTCAGAGACTGCAAGCCGTTATAAAAGCCAAAGGTGGTGTAACTAAACACTAGTGATGTATTTTGAATGGTCTTTTGTTTATCTGTTTTTCATGATTCCATACTTTTTTCTTCAGAATTGAGTGATTCCATATTTTTTCCTCTGTGCTTGGTCAATAAAAGTAACATTCACTGACTTCCACAATGTTTTCTCTTCATTTCTTTGAGTGTTCCTGAAAGACAACAAGTTGCACTGTGGAATGACCTTATTGTTGTATCATGTTTTTCATCAGAGTTTGTTTTACAGAATGAAATGTCTGAATGAGTGCTCATCCAAGACTGGTGATTCCATACTTTTTGCCAGGGGTTATATTGTCCCTGGTTTTAGAGTGAAAACTAATTCCGTAATCAACAATCATTCATTTCTCTGCAGCGATTGTGGTCAAAATAAGCATCCTTTATTGTCTCACATTGTTTTTCATCCAGCAAATCCATAAAATGTTTCCAGGTTTTGTTGTCAGTGTGCCCCCTAGTGGTAATCATAACAGGCGTTACGTGGGATAAAGAAAGTCCACCGTTACGTACTGCAGCGCTGCAATCTGGTCGTCTACATCCACAGAACCAAGGCCCTGATGAATCTGCTCCAACACTCTGTGAATAGATCAAAATTATGGTTGGGATCAATAATCTGCATTTGTTTTTCTCCTCAATCTGCTTAAAATGTTTCTGCACCTTTGACCTCTGAACCCAGATCCCCTGCCGTCCAGTCGCGCCACGATGATCTGCTCTGATCCAGCTAGGACTGAATCCCATTCCAGGCTGAACTCCTCTGTCACAGTCTGTCCACCCAGAGTGCTGCCGCTGTTCATGGAAAACATTTATTTTACTTTTCTGTGAAAAAGAAAATCTTATCCTTGAACTTTTACAATGCTGGTTCAGAAACAGATTGAGAAAATGTATTAAATATAAATAAAACCAGAACAAAATGATTTTAAACCTTCATAAACCCATATGTTATTCACAATGGAACATAGTAAACATTAAATGTTGCAACTAGGAAATTGTACCACTTCTGAAAAAAAAAGTATAAATTTTAAATTTGATGGCAGCAACACAATCTTTAAAGTTGTTCTGGAACCAAAGTTCTCTATGTAAAGCTTCCCCTCCTCTATTAAAGTGAACCCTGACTAGTTGTAACATTAAATATTATTTGACAAACATTACTTCAACTATAAAACAGAGATAGAAAAATACTGTAAGCTGTTCAGTTTTTATAAATTAAACAATTATAATGTCACAGAGACGGCACCATATTATTTACACCACAAAGCACACGGGGTAAATGAGGATGTTTACAAGGTCCTCCACTGGTGCAGGACTGTGAGTGAGCTCTATTCAGCTTAAAACGTCAAATCTTTTACTTTTCACCAATAAAGTAAAAGATCAGATACACAGAATTTACTCCTGAAAAGAAAACCTTAAAAAGTTTAAAGCTGACAGATTTATCTAATCTCTCTGGACAATCTGTCACACTTGACCTTTTCTGGCTGTGTCCTCACTCCAACATGTTTGTGACTAAATGTTGACTCAACAAACTTAAAAACCTAACTTTCAGTGTATGTACAGTATATGTATGTGTGTGTGTTTTTTGTGGGGTGGGGTGGGGTTGTGGGGGTTGTTTGCTCTTTCAGGGGGTGGGGGTTTATGTTCGTATACTTTGAAAACCCTAATTTTTGATTATTAATCTTTTTAGCATGGACGTTTTTCATTCTTTCAAGCAGTACAATTGTCTAACTGCATTGATGGATTATTTCACTTAATGCAGGAAGATTCAGACTCTACTATTTCTTTAATTTACATATGATAGCTCATTTTTGCAGTGTTTGATTAGAAGTCAGTGTTTCAGACAATTATTATTATTCAATGTTCTTATGAACATATCTGCCTCACTCTTTTTACTTTGTATAAGAATATCGTAGAATAAATAATAAGATCAAGTTATTCTGATTGTAAAAACACACTGCTTCACCT